GGACAGAGGTTATAAAGGGACAGCCAGGACAGATGTTATAAAAGGGAAAGAAAGGACAGAGGTTATAAAAGGAAAACCAGGACAGAGGTTATTAAAGGGAAAGCTAGGACAGAGGTTATGAAAAGGACAGCTAGGACAGAGGTTATAAAAGGGACATCCAGGACAGAGGTTATAAAGGGACAGCCAGGACAGAGGTTATAAAAGGGAAAGAAAAGACAGAGGTTATAAAAGGGACAGCCAGGACAGAGGTTATTAAAGGGACATCCAGGACAGAGGTTATAAAAAGGAAAACCAGGACAGAGGTTATTAAAGGAAAGCCAGGACAGAGGTTATAAAAGAGACGGCTAGGATAGAGGTTATAAAAGAGACAACCAGGACAGAAGTTATAAAAGGGACAACCAGGACAGAGGTTATAAAAGGGACAGACAGGACAGAGGTTATAAAAGGGACAGACAGGACAGAGGTTATAAAAAGGACAGCCAGGACAGAAATTATAAAAGGGACAGCCAGAACAGAGGTTATAAAAGGGACAGACAGGATAGAGGTTATAAAAAGGACAGCCAGGACAGTGGTTATGAAAAGGAAAGCTAGGACAGAGGTTATAAAAAGGACAGCTAGGACAGAGGTTATAAAAGGGACAGCTAGGAAAGAGGTTATAAAAATTACAGCTTGGACAGAGGTTAAAAAAAGAACAGCTGGGACAGAGGATATAATAGGACAACTAGGATAGAGGTTATAAAAGGGACAGCTAGGACAGAGGTTATGAAAGGGACGGCCAGGGCAGAGGCTATAAAAGGGACAGCCAGAACAGAGGTTATAAAAGGGACAGCTAGGAAAGAGGTTATAAAAAGTTTAGCAAGGACAGAGGATAAAGAAAGGACAGCCAGGACGGAGGTTATAAAAGGGACAGCTAGATCAAATGTTATAAAAGGGACAACCAGGACAGAAGTTATAAAAAGGACAGCTAGGACAGAGGTTATAAAAGGACAGCCAGAACAGAGGTTATAAAAAGGACAGCTAGGAAGGACAGAGGTTATAAAAGGGACAGCTAGGATAGAAAAAGAATAGAGTTAAAGAGATCTAATAATGTGGAGATAAGGGAGGTCGGAGCAGATCTATAGATATAATATACTTTACTTGCCTATCTGAATGTTGTTTTTGGATGATCAAAATTTCAAAGATGTTGCATCTAAGAAAGCTCGATTTTCATTAATTTGAAAAATCCACGAAATTTGATTAAAAAATCCGCAAACTTTTGTTTGTTTTTGTTTTACAATGTAAATAAAGAGAAAAAAGAAATGAAGACGAGTGGGCGCGAAGCGACCTGAAAGCCTAGTATATTAGAAGACTGTAGTTTCAGGGAAAGAAAGAGGCAAGAATTAAATAGAATTGCGGAACTTTAAAGGAATGGAAACTATATGATGAACATAGAAAAGAATGATGTGTGAATAAGACAAGAATGATGTGTGAATAAGACAAGAATGATGTGTGTGAATAAGACAAGAATGATGTGTGAATAAATAGAACGATAAAAATTAAAACATGTTAAAAAACATCAGAATATCTAAATTTCAAGCGATAAATAATAAATTAAGGAGATCGATGACACATGAAAGTTTTATTCACTTTCTTTCAATTGTTAAGCAATCTCATTTAATGAAAAAATAGTTTTAGAAAAGTTTGGTACATACATATAGATTAGAAACAATAGTTCCCAGAAGGTGTGATTAAGAAGAAAGATGAGAAAGAACAAAAATTGGAAAATTTCAGAGCGGAAATGAAATAAAACTTTTTTATTTTTACATCAAAAAGGTCAAAAAGTTTATCGGATCTCTCTCTTTTGGTAATTAATGGACTTTGGCAACACAAATAGTTCTTTGAATGTAGGTTTCCAACTAAATAATTAGTCTTATTTCAGAAATACTAATTGAATCCTTATTTCTCTTTACATTGCAATTAATAATGATTATTTCTTTAACGAAATTGAAACCATAAATTTTCGATTATTTCCAGTGTTCAAAACAACAAAACATAGGTAGGCTTCTTGAATTCAATGCAAGGAAAGTCGATTCTCAAAAATATTTTCTGATTTTTTTCTGAGGAAAGTGCAACACTTCTCTCTTGTAAAAAAATGCGACCCAATTATTGTTGAGAAAGTACGACAACATTTGTAGGATTCTCTTTGTAAAAAGGGACTGTCAACATAAATCCATTTGACCCTTTATTTCAAGAGGAACAATTCTAAATGACAACAATATATACCTTTGTCTCAGCATAAATAATGAAATATTCTCGATTTTCTTCTTGAAAACTGTTTTTTATAATCCTTGGAATTCCTTTCTAAAATATCTAAAATATCTAAACAGCATATACTGATAACGTGCATCGATGAAAGCCTATCTTTGCGTTTCTTGCTATTTTTGTTTTTTACTTGTATTTGACCTTCAAGAAGCATTCTCTCTCTCTCTACATGTTAACAGTAAAATGTTGTGTCATGTTTGCTGAGAACAATTATAAAGGGATTGTTCAACAAACTATATTGTAAAACTCTCTTCCTTTATGATAAAAAATATATTTGGTATTTGCCACAGTGTACTTTTTCATTTATTTGAATGGATTTTCCAAGTGATCGCAAAAGTTTTTGCCACAAACTCAGATTTTCTAATCTTTATATCTTTGTAACCCAATGTTGTAGACCTTAGATATATCAAACTATTAATACTTATAAATAAAATAATCTAAGTTTAAAATATCATAGGTTTGCACCATCAGGCTGCAAAGATATTGGGATCAGAAGATTTCAGTTTGTGTGCAAAAACTCAATTCCTTTCTATATTTTTTAGACAAATCGTAATTTCGTTTTTGTTTTTGACCTTTAACTCTCTGTAACAATTTTTTGTATAAACTTGGTGTTAGTGGGGAATTCAATGCTATTCAAGTTTTATAAAAAAAGGTTTTAAAAATGTAAATCTTTAAACAATCTTTATACAAGTTAGAACTGTGCTTATGACTAATTCAAATATCCTGTTTTCTGAAACACCTCGTCTGACACTTTATTCTAAAACACCCTGGTATCTGACACCCCAATATTAAAGTAGCTTGGTCCGAGCTGGTATAACATGTTCTATATATGCATTCAGTGTCGTACTGTCCAGTCTGGCTACCCAGTGTAGAGTCGACCCAACACGTGTTGCCTGGCAAGATTACAGTACAGTGCATGTTGTTATATATTTAGGTTGTGTATACTCTGAGCCCCAGGGTTGTAAATTCTTAAGAGAAATATACTTTAACCCTCAGTCCTCCAGTATACAGGTATTTAAAGGGAAACCTGGCGATTCTTTAAATTTTTGTGTTTAAGGGACCATCCACAATTTCAAAAATTATTTCAACCAAAATCTAGATTAAAGAGTATTTATGGAAAGTGTTATCAAAAAAAAGTAAAAGTTCCTTCATGTTTCTTAAAATTAATAATTAATGAATGAATTAGGAGATGATTATGCCACGAGTTACAGCTTGCCTTCTTCGACATCTTCCCTGGTTACAGGTTCATACTTTTATTCATCCATTTATTCATCCATTTATTCATCCACCTATAATTTTATTCATCCATCTTTTCATTTTTTTGATCAATCATCCTTATATCCCAGTAGCACAGTCAAACATTAAACATAAGGGTTTTCACCAAGCAAGCAAATTTTCCCGAACAACTTTTTATTTAATGCAGATCTCTGCTATATAGTTTTGTAAAGGATATTGTTAATTTAACATTTTATTCCGCGCCATTTGCGTATTTACTGGCGCACCTCAGTTCATGTAGAATTATATTTAAATGTAAAATATCCGCGAAATTTTTATTCCGCTCGAAACCCTAGAAGTGATCCAAAATAAAGCGCAGGAAACCCTGAAAAGGTGTCCCGTATCCTGGTTGTTGCATCCTACTTATTTATCCTTTTATTTGATATCGTTTAATTTGAGTCTTTTGGTTCATTCTTCCAGTCATATAATCATCCTTTCGTTCATCTGTTTTTTGATCATTTCATCCACTTTTTATTTATTATTTTATTCGTTTTCATTAATTGATCATTAATTGATCTTCAATTAATCTCTAATTGATCATTAATTGATCTTTAATTGATCATTAATTGATCTTCAACTTCAGGTTGTTGATCTCTCCAACCTTCATACTGGGATAGAACATTATTATAGAGGATCAACACATCGACAAGTAATAATAATGATAATAATAATTATAATAATAATAATAATAATAATAATAATAATAATAATAATAATAAAAAAATAATAATAATTACAATGACTTTAATAATGACAATACCAAATTGCATGTTTTAGAGTCGAGTAAAATCGTTAAATCTTGTTCACTATACCGGAAGTGATAGATTAGCGGAAGTAATGGAGATCTGTCCAAAATTAAGGTAATAATTCTGAGAATTTAAAAGTTTTTTCTATAATAATTTCATAAGATCGTCAAAAAATTAAAGATGCAATTATTTCCTTAATCTCTTCTGTAGTCAAGGAGAATTAAAAATATTTAAAAACAAAAATTGAATAAAGAAAATAGAAACAAAAAGCTAATATATCCTTTTTTCTAAGAAAGAATAAAATTCTAATATTTCAGTTAAAAACTTTTCGTCTGCAGTACATCTCTTTGGGCTTGTTATAAAAACATTATTCTCAGCTTCAACCTTTTCTAATAATTATACTAAAAACTAAACATAAATAATTTAGCAAAAACAAAGCAAAAAAAGCATAAACTAAAGAATTTGGCTTGATGAAAAGAGTCAGTTTACCATTTTTTAATTGTTCTAGAACATTCAAACTATTTGTTACTGCTCAACTACCACAGTTAGGATACACGCTACAGGTTAGAAATAGCTATCTATCTATCTATCTATCTATCTATCTATCTATCTATCTATCTATCTATCTATCTATCTATCTATCTATCTATCTATCTATCTATCTATCTATCTATCTATCTATCTATCTATCNATCTGATCTGATCTGTATCTTTATCTGATCTGATCTGATCTGAGCTGATTTGGATATAATCTGATCTGTACCTAATCTTATCTGTACCAAATTTGATCTGTATCTGATCTGATCTGTATCTGATATAATCTGTATTTAGGAAACAATAATAACATGTTCTGATCTGATCTGTATCTGATATAATCTGTATTTGATCTGATCTGGTTCTAATCTGATCTGTATTTGGTATAATTTGTATTTAGGAAACGATAATAACATGTTCTGATCTGATCTGTATCACGACAAAGTGTCCCCAGATAGAAACCTTGAGTTTTACAAATTTCCACGTGAATGCCGAGGTGGATTATAGAATCTCACATTCTCCTGTACCAACTATACCTGCTCCTCTACCCTTCCTCACTGCTATCAGGTACAAACATACTTGGTCTATGGTGTTCAGATTCAGAAATATTTGTTTGATCTGTGCCTTGTACTTGGTCTATGGTGTT